GTCTAAAAACAAGATCAAAAAGACTTTTTGGCAGGATATAAGGTTTTAAAACTTGGTTAGGTGGACATTTTTTGCAGTGTAAAGACCCCCCTCCGGTGACCTCATCACCTCTTTCAGACTCTCGTCTGAGAGGAGACGTGGTTCTGGGCTGGGACACCTTCAGGACTCTGACACTAATCAGCTGGAGGAAAAATTCATTTTAGAAGCGAAAGTGTCAAAATGTATTTTTTCCCCAACTTCTAAACTGATGAGTAAAACTTTTTAAATCATTTCTTTAATGCCCCCACCACCTTACACACCTCCTCTTTGTTCTCTCTTATCGTCCATCCCTTCATCTTCGCCCCTCTGCAGTCCTCTGTCAGGAACGAGGTTATGGCGACCAGTCACGTTACGGATGAGTGGATGACACTAATGGAAATGAGTAGCCTCAACTGCTACATTGTGCGCCGTTACATAGCAACGCCCAGCGGGGTGCTCCGGATTTACCCGGGATCGCTGATGGACAAAGCGTTCGACCCGACCCGCAGACAATGGTGAGGCTTACTGTGGTGGGTTTGAAGACGGGTGTGTGTGTGTGTGTGTGTGCGCGCATGCACTTAAGTGGACCAACAAGTTATGCTGAGTAGTTCTGAGTATAAAGTTTATTTATTTTTTATTTTATTTTACTGTGTTTATTCATTTATCTACAAAACAACAATTTCTATATACAACAAAATACGATGACAAATTAAATGAAAGGTAGCAGAAGAAGAAAAGTCTTCTTATATCTGCCCCTTTTCTCATTAAGCAAATTCAATTAAAAAAAAATCTTCAAATACTGAACAAAAAAACATACAAAGAAAAAAATCAAGAAAGGTTTAACTCCTTATTGAGCAACAAATCTTACATTAAACCATTTTATATTTCTCCAACAGTTTAACCTTTGTCATTCTCTTAAATATAAGTTTATATTAACAAGTTAAAATAAATGTGCTACGTTCAGCACAAGAAAACTTAATTTGCTGTTACATCATCAACAATTCCTCAGAATTTTTTTTACACATAAAGTGTTTATTAAAGATATATTTGCTGTTTTTATTCGTTAGACCAGGGGTGTCACATGCGTTCCTCGTCTCACTGCTGCAGCTGAGCACCGCTAGCAAACAATAACTGAGCTCTACCTGGTATTTCCTGCACAGAAATAGTGTTTTAATATGTCCTCTTATAAACACTAAAAAGTACTATAAGTACAACTGACTAAATGTGAAATAAATACAGAAATATTATTAAAAGGCACTTTAAACTCATGACTTGTAAGTGGGTAGTTCCAACTTCCCAGTACAACTGGGTCACAGCAAAAGTAGCCAACAAAAATACAGCAAAATGCAGCTTTTACCCGGTAATTTTTGAACCTTGTGCAGCTCCACCTAGTGGTGGGATGCCATCATTTCACAGGTAAGATAATCAACATGCATYATGGGAGGAGTTGTTYACGGTCAATGCTGTCTTTAAAGCAGCTTATTTTAAGTTGTCAAATTTGCTATTGGAAGTCTTTTCTTGTGTTTGATTCCAGGTGCTTCATAATGGAGGACAGAGGCTACCTGGTACCTTTTGGTTAAAGAAAAAAAAGATGGACAGTTTTTTGGAGCGTAAAGGAAAATAGAATTGTGATCCATTTTTCATTTTACAAGATCTGTTCAAAACAAAAAACAAATGACCAAAAAGAACCATTTTGACTGAAATAGGGATTCCTTTGCCTCACAGCAAAATCTGTTTCCAWTGTCTTGTGCTGAAATCTGTTCACAGATTGTTCCCACTCACAAAAACTCATGTTTCTAAAAGTACTGTTGTGTTTGTAAGGAAAAGTTTAATACTTATTTAACAGGAAATGTATGGGGTGCCGTTTGTAAAGTTACACAGTCAAAAATTACCACCAATATTTTTGTTTTATTTAGCCTTTTATAAGAAAAAAAGAACAGATTTAGTTTTCAAAGTCAGTTTTTCACCATATGATTCATACATTTATAAAT